AGATGCTGCACAGGAGCTGCACAGAAAAAACACACCAGGGCTTACTGATGGTCACTGCAACAATCCTTACTCTTAGATGCAGTCCAAAGTTGCTCTTGACACCTACCTAGGGGTTCAGAAAGGTCACACAAGCGAACTATTGGAGCCTAACAGTCCACAGACATAATTGCTCTCATTCCAAGGCCCTTTCCCTAGTTTTAATATCCATGCCAATGAAACAAATCATATTAGCTACACCGGAAGGTCAATGCACAAATGAGCTATACTCAACATATGGAACAAGTTTGAAGCTTTTCAGACTAAATGATATTTTCATGAAAAAGTTTTAGATAGCAGCAGCAGACAGAATGGTCTTCCCATTGTAGGTTATGTGCTACCCTGCTAATTTGTATTTTTAGAGAAGAAAGGTAACTGCAACATTAGCTATGCTGGAGATGATAGTCAAAAGTTGTATTTATTTTTGGTTGCCATGTTTTAATGCATATACTGCATGCTTGCTTTCTGGCACTGGTAGTTTCTTCATCACCACAGTACCTAGGCACTCAAGCACATGATTAACCTGCGGAACAAATGAGACAGAAGCAGAGAGCCAAGAGGCAGGATGTCAACCTCCTCGCAGAGATCTGCCAGTACAACTCTACCTTTGCCCCTTCAGGCTTTCCATTGGTTTGTCTTTTACCCAGACTCTCATGAAAAGCAGTTCTTTTTTCCTAAGAGTGCTAATGGATGCAGAAAATTCATAAGGTAGCTTAAGAGGAATGGTTAGACTACCAAAGCAAACCAAGAAAATTTTTATTTTCACAACAAATAGACCTGAAGCATCATGCCAATTCCAAACTTTGGAAAGGATCTAGAATCAAGTCTTATATTGTACCTAATTAATCTGAAATTGAATTCTGAATTAAAGCATAGCTCAAGAGAAGAGCTCTTGCATCTCTTATCCGGACCACAAATCTCTAAAAGCAAAAATCAAGTGCACCATCATGTCATAAATACTAGACAACCATAAGTATTTTCATTGGGAAAACATTGCTTAAGGGCTTAATGGGCTTAAACTAAGCCCATTATGAATTGATAAAGTTTGGTGTGACTGCCATGCTGTCATTCTGGCCACTTTAACATGACTCTTCAGAAGAGGGCAAACAGACCTTCTCCTTGCTGAGCGCCCAAGTAACCACTCAAAAGTCTTTGCCAGACCATACCCTACCACTGTTCTTAGCATTGTCAGCTTGTTGTATGCAAGAAATACACTAGAACAAATGGCTATGGGCCTTTTGAAAATATCTTGGAGATTGCAGGACGCCCCTTCCTCAAATGAGTATTAATTTAATGGCAATTCTGTCTTTGACTGTTATTTAACATGTAACTTCTTTGAGCTTTTTCTGGCTTGGGATGCTAATGCAGAGAACACTGAGGTGCTAGACCAAATTATTGTCTTCAATCATCTATCCCTAACTGTTTTATTTTCTGTAGAAGCACTCTTGAGTAACAAAATAAAGAACAAGGGTTTTGCATGCAGGATAATTTCAGAATAATTATTTCCTTTCAGCACTGAAGAACTATGGAGCTTCAATATAAACTTTATGGAATTTTTTGTTTTCCATCACCCATCACACTATTAGCACTGCAGTTTTATTACATTACTATCATGAGATGAGGTAGTTGCATCCTATTTTAATTTTTCCTTGAAGAGCAAAAATAATTTTAGTGTCAATGCCACATTAAAAACAATGAAGACTCAAGTGCTTTCTTCCCAATGCAGATAAAATATGCTGTGCTACCACTGTGCATCAGTGATTGAGGCAAATAAAAGAGCATGGCACCACCCACCTGCACTTGGCTGCAAAATCCTGGCTTAAAGTTTGCTCCAAGCATCATTCTGATTCTTTTTTTGCCTCTCTTACGTATAAGTTATATACACCACTATCATCTGTAAGACTCAGATCTTCTGTGCACTTTAACAGGCTTTATGATTGAACTTAATGGAAGACATATTTGGTTTTAAATGCTGAAAACAACTTTGAAGATCTCAATTCTAGTAAATGATGAATTAAGGCTGCAGTTAAGGAAACAGTTTTGAATGAACTAAGCCAAAATTAATTGACCGCTAAGAAATTGGTCCAAATCTTTCAAAATCAGATTACTTAACATACTTTTAACAGTAGATACTCCTGTCCCTTCTACTCATTAAGAAAAAAAACGTGAAAGAATTAGCGAAGATGGCAACCTCTTAGATATGAGACCTATTTTGGATATCATAAACAGATGTGACAAGTCACTTCTCTTACAGTGGCAGAGAGTACAACCTTCAAACTGTTAATTCCTCAGCTGAGCATCTGCATTATAGTAACAACCTTTTAAATCTTTTAAAACAACTTAGGCATGCTAATCGAAGTGTTTTCTAAGAAAACTCAGAAAAAACAAGACCATTAGCCACAAAGATCTATTCCACGGCATGTTTTTTCACTGCAAAGGCCAGTTTTTTTATTTTCAAATACATAAAAATAATACCAATGGGGGAAAAAAAGATCTTAAAAAGCCCAACCTTTTACACAATGCAGAGCCACCTTAGAGGAAGTTGCTCAGAATTAAGAATTAAAGGCAAACAAAATTTAAAGCGTGCAAACAAACAAAAATCACCAGAACTTCTTGTGTCCCCATCCTGCACTGGAAGGAGAGGAAGGAGGAAAAAAAAAAATAGTGAAATGTTTCCATGAAGAATACAATTCTGTGCCGTTTGTGAATATACACAAGCAATAAGAAGAACCTCTAAACATCCTCCTCTGGTTAACCTTTTTTGGCTTGACGGTGGTAACGTTTTGCCCAGTTGTGCAGTAAACTCCAGGTTAGTTGTCAACACTGCTCTGTTTTACGTCCAGGCCAGAAAAAGCTAGGAATGCTGCATATTCAGCTCATATGCCTGAGAAAATGGTTTAATAGCAATTCCCTCCAAGTTAGTTAAGGAATGGATTTGACAGCTGTTGAAGAGGGTCCCAGGCCAAAGCTGTCCTTTGCAGCTTGAAGAGTGCAGGTCAAGAAAGCAAGGTCCTCTGCAGCAGAGGCTGGACAATACAACAAAGAACAGGGTGGGGGAAATCTTAATGGATGTGAGTGAAACCCAGATGACTCATCAGAAAGTAAAACATTCCTATTTTGGCACAAGGCTGAAATAGCAGTCCTGGGTTGCATTGCAGCACAGCAATAAATGACCCGAGATGCTTGAGACAAACTCCTGCACACACTAACAGCAGGCGCTATTTCACATTTCATTAACCACACAGGTTTAGACAACTATTAACACATTACTTAGCACTGTCTCAGCTCTCCACTAGAGAAATTCATACGATCAGATCTGTAGCAGGATGACCCATAGAGGAATTCTTCTGCAAATACGAAGCAACCACAGTAATTTCACATAAAATAGGGATCATCTATAAGAAAATGTTGCCAAGCTTCCTTAGAATTTCACATTTTAGAGAAAAAACTAAACATTCACCCCACAGACTATTTAAAATAAGAATTAGTATGCAAATAAGATTTTCCTTAAACTTCGCATATGCGTTTTTCTTGGAGGGCGTTGTTCAAGACTATCCCTACTTTCTATTATCTCTTGCAAGAATTGATTTACAAGTATACAAAAATTCTAGAGCACTGGAAGCAGACTAATAGGAAGTTAAAAAAATGCAAACGAGAACTCGTGACCTTCAATAGTTGGGGGACTCTGATATTCATTTAGTCTCTTCCCTCTCAGATGGATATTGCCCAACTACAGAAAATAGTGATATACTTTATATATGTTATCTTTCACTTCCCTCTGGTACACAATGCAAGAAAGCTGTGTTCTCAGCAATGAGTAAACAGTCATCATATTATTTTTTCACACATTTTTGGCATACAAACACAGAAATATCACTGTGCTACTTCCATACCTATCACACCACTTCTAAAATACATCCAGGCTTATGAGGAACATAACACTAGCTAGCTTTTTATTTAATAAGCTTTTAAAAGGTAATGGCATTTTTCAGAATATTCTTTTATCCTTTTTGCTTGGCATCTGGCCCTGCCTCAGAAGGGTAGTATCTGCCTGACCTCTACATACCCTTGCACTTTCTCCATGATATCCCTGGAATGATAATTCTTCAGCTTTCATTTCTTAGAGTGTTTCTTGTTGGTCACTTCTGGTGCTGGTGGCTGCTGAAGTAGAAGTTTATCCTCTGATAACCTGTGTTGCCTTAATGCTTCCTAGCATCCTGAGAATATTTTCCAAGTGTTATGGTGACATCAGTTGAGATCTTCACATTACAGAAGTGTTTCATGTGCTTATATCCTAACTTATTCTGTTGTTTTTCTTTTTTTGTATGTGTTTTTTTCTGCTTTCTAATCCTTCTGTCAGCCTTTTGATTTTTGTGGCTTAACTCCTTTTGTTATTACTATTTTATTTCTTACGACTTTTCAGCACCTTTCTGACAAGAAAGCATATTCAAAATCTGAAAACATTTTGACCATGCGCCTGATACCTCCAAATAAATTTCTCCAAAACTACAGGTCACATTTGTCCAAAAGATTAGCAAAAATTCTCTCAAAAGAAACAATAATAGACTCATTTTCTTTATATATTTCTGGGTAAGCTAGAATCTAGGAATTACAATATAGAAGCCCTGTGCAATGATAAGCATGTCTCAAATAGTTCTGATATATAATATTGCACATAAAATCACCAACTGTAATACGTCCCATTTTCAAAACAATGAATGTTCAGAAATACATGCCCCTTACCACTACTATCCTTTTTTTTTTACCAAGAAGAAAACTGTGTACTAGCATGCCCAAAAAAGCAAATATTGTTAAATAATTTCAAGCAGTCAGTTTGTTCATGACTGATACAGCTGACTGAATACCGGTTATCTCACTTGATAGAGAAGGTGCTAGTTTGCTCACCTCAGTCACCTGCAGGATCTTTGAAATGCCTCCTCTTCTGTTCCTTCCAAAGAGTGCATTCCTGCATCTCCCATTATCTTCTTTAGCCCACTGCACATGCAGTCATCAGTAAGTTCTAGCCAAGTTATCCTACGTAGCTGCAGAAGAAAAGGAAAGACTCAAGGATGCTGCAGATGCTCTCTTTGAAAATGTTGGTTTTTTGGTGGTCTGTCACAGACAGGTCTCCAGTAGTAAACTGAACAAGCTATCCTCCTGGCCCTTCTTTCGTTCTTTTTCCTTTTTTGTAAACACATAATCAGTGCTTCAAATCCTTTAGGTATCACAAACTGTATTTCTCTATTGCCCTCTGCTGACTGCTAACACCACCTTGCTAGATGATCAGCAAAGCAACAGATTCACTGTATTTTCTTGCTGTCCTGCTTTAAATCAATAATGACTTCTGGTCATCATGTTCCAACACAAATCATTCTATTTTCTCCTTTGTTACAAAACACCAGGCAAGTTTTACAGCTTGTTGGGTCAGCCATGGTAACTACAAAACACTGAAGAGTAGAAGCAGGAAGCAGTTGGTAACATGGGTTTGCTAATGTGCTTTTGGTGAACAGAAGCCAGGAAAAAGTAGAGACAAATGTCTTCCACCTCGAACTATTCCATTCATGCCATAAATTAAGTATTGTATAGGGCAGTTGAGGGTTAGTGGATTTTAAGGTTTTGGCTCAACCAGCACATTAAATACTGACTTTTTTATAGGAGTTCTGCAGAATTGGATCCAGAGAGCCATGAATTACTGGCCATGGATTCCTGGTTATTTCCTACTCTGCTGACAGAGTTTTATTGGCTTTCAGCACTACACATAACATAGGGAGAAACAGAGTTCCTGCCTCATGAGGCGTTTACTCAAACTTGGACACTGACAAGAAATATACTATACCATATATGAATGCCACTGGAAATCATAGTTTGCACTTCTTTTAAGACAAAGATATAAACAAATAAAAGCTACTAAACTGGCAAAAAGAGTTTTGATATTCAGAAGAAAAAAAAAATTGAACCATTTCAGAGAGAAGAAAAATTAAAATCAAATCCCTTGCACTTCATTAATCACTAATTAATTAGTACTATGACCACTCGTATTTATCAACCAAGTCACTAAGGCATATGTTCTTACCCCAAAAATATACATACATAGACTGCTGCAAGTGTGCAGCTACAGTCAGCAGAGGATTCGCAAGAACATTTCTCTTTTGCTAGACAGGTGCTGAAGGAAAACACAGCACTGTTTTGCCTTGCAAGCCATTCATCCTCTGCAACGCAGTCCTTAGCGGGCAGACTTCCATAGTTTTAATCACTAGAAGTGACAAAACAGATCCTCTCACCCTCAAAAACAAACATTTTGAAGCATTTTTTGCTTGTCTGTCTCCCCAAATGACCTCTCTTTACTCTCAATTGTCCCTACTAGTACAGAGTGGGGGTATTTCATATGCCAAGCATTGGTTGGCTGATGAAAACTTGCTGTGTTTTAAACAGATGTAGTGTGCAAATTTCTTTTCTTGGAGCTGAAGAAAAGGGATGTCACAAAAACTCTATCAACAAAGCCAAAAAATCTCCAGAATGAGTATTTCTCTAAGTTTATTGAAATCAACAACAACAAAAAAGCCTATTTAATGAAAACTGAGATGGAATTCTAATTTTAATTATTACTAGCATTTCATTAGCATGCCCAAGCTTCATGGGAGTTTTACAGCAAAGGTGCTATTAAAGAAAATCCTACTGCTTCCACCCCTCCCATTAGCTAAAACACTTGGCTGCTCTATGTTAGCAAAAAAAGAAGAGCCTACATTCATTGAAGCTCCCTGGTAGGATATTGAAGCCCAGCCTGATGAATAGGGCTCCAAAGAGAGCACTGCTGCCGAAGGATCAAAGCAAGTGAATGGGGCCTAGAGAATCAACAAAACACACATCAAACAGTGCAACGGTGGGGGTTTTGTTGTTGTTGTTGTTTTTCTTTTTAGTAAGAGCACGTTCACACGGAGTGATAAAGCAAAGTAGACAGTGGCCTAAAGTCTTGGAAAGGCATTTGCGCCGAGTGGAAGACAGCTGGTGCTCAGCACTTGAAAAGCCAGGCGCTTTCTGCAGCTACTGCCTGACGCGCCTCACGTGCCCACTTTCGACGTGAACCCATTTTTTCCTGCTCTCCCGACGTGCCAGTTTCCCCGCACAGCCGCCCGCGCCGCCGCGGGCCGCGCTCTCCGCCCCTGGGCGCGCCGGGCCTCACGGGCGGCCCGGGCCGCCCACCGACTTCCCCCGGCCTCCCCCTTGCCGCCGCCGAAAGCACCGCGCCGCTTGCTAGCGCTGAGGGCGGCTCTCGGCACCTCCCTTCCTCCAACGGCCGCGCGCAGCCGTTACCGGCGCCCCACCCGCTACCGACGCAGCGTCAGAGCCCGCGGCGGGTTCCACCCGCCGCGAGCCCGGAACGATCGTGCTGCGGCCGCGGAGCGCCGCCGGACCTGGCTGCGGGCGGCTTCCGGCGGGGCGGCGCGGGGGCGGC